TGTATATTTTTCCTTTTTGGCTCATTTTGCGGGTTTTTCTTTTCTACTTTGATTTGATTTTGTTCTCGATGCGGCGAAAGGATAAGGAGCACGGACAGATTGAGCGAGATTGAGCGCAATAATGAGATACCCAACAACACCGTCGTGGAGGGGAGGGAGAGGAGAAGGGGATACTGGATATACTGGATACTAGATACGTGGATCTCAAACACGTGCTCAGGTGGTGGTGGTGGTGGTGGTGGTGGTGACGGTAATGGCCTTTTAACGACGACAATGACGATGATAATGATCATGATAATCATGGCGATCATGAAGAAAGATATACGAGGTAGAGGAAGTCTTGACAGGAAGAGGAAGAGGAAGAGAAGGTGGGAGGAAACAAAATAATCCAGACAGATATCGAGGCACAGTACCTTACATATGTACTTCCATCCATACTTACATACCTACATACCTAGTACGTAGGTATACACATACGTACCTCGTACACATCACCTCATATACCTAGGTACCTGTCCATCTATCCATCTGTGTGTATGTATGTACGTGTGGTTGTTTGTCTGGGTACCTAGATAGATTCTCTGAGATTCATCCATCTAATCATTCAGAAACGAAACCAATGTGAAAATCTCCCTGTTTCATTGCTCAGACTCACTCCTATGTAGGTGAAGCCATCTATCTACTGTACATACAGACATGGCTGGCTACCTACCTAGGAATGAGCCGTGCGTGGATGCTTGCTCTGCTTTGCTATGGACCAGAATCCTTGCCAACATCCCCCAAGTGCATTTGTTCCGTCATCCACTAGATACACACTCACTCACAGAACGGTTATGCACAGCCATTGCTGAGCACAAAGGCCGAAATTATCGCTGTTCATCTGATGCCTTCGTGCTGCAACCCTCATCGTGTGGCCAACAAACCCACCAGCCAATATCACTCATAACATTTGCAATCCATTTCATTAGACGCCCATAACACCATGTCACAGCACCAGGAGTCGTCCGTAGTCGAGTCCATTCGAAACCATCCACCTCCCCAATGCAGGATGCAAGGTATGGGAAGAAAAAGAGAAAGTGATCATGAACCGAGGTTGGCAGCGACATCCTCATCTTCGAACCCGGTCAGCCCGCCGTCATCATAGTCGTCGAACGGCAAGCCGGCGTCACGACATCTGGACTGCCACTTGCTAGTCTCAGCCCATGCACTTCTCGCAGACTCCTTCATCCGATCAAGCCGATTGGTAAGTTCTTTGATGGCGATGTCGAAGGTGGCACGCTCATTGTCCCATTTGTTCTTCTCATTGAGGAGTTCCTGGATGTACTCGTATGTGCGTTGGAGGATGGCTCCCTTGTTCTTCTCGCTGCCAGGCACGATCTTGGCAATGTTTTCGATACCTTCATTGATAACCTCACGGCGACGACGTTCAACTGAAAAGCACCGACGTTAGTCATCTAGTTTAGGCAGCGCAGGTTTCGAGCGCATCATACCTTCCTTGTGGTTGTCCTTGCGCAACTGGTGCCACTCTGCACTTCCCACCGCTGGCTTGGGTGGATTGTTGTTGTTCGTGCCCCCACGAGCCTCAACAAGAGCTTGAGCAGAACTAATCCCATGAACGGGAGGGCTGCCGTCATCAAAGGTAAATGGGAGGCCTGCGCTGCTATCATTTGGGTTGGGTTCGGGATAAGCAGATGAGTTCATGCCGGGGGCTGCAAGAGCAGCTTGGGCAGTTCGAGCGTTGTCGTCCGCGAGCATTCCCTCACTCTGCAAAAGCAGGCCAAAGGTGGCAGCATCATGCTCGCCATTTGTGATAGGCCCCTTGGCGTCACGTCCGACGTCCTGGTCGCCCAATCCACGTTTACGCTTGTTGGTGGTATTGCCAGTGGCGGAGATTGCAGGTTGATTGGCCATGACAGAGAGGTTGATTGCAGACTATGCGTGCAGAGGACCAAAGGCGGGTGTTTATAAATATTGATATCCAGGCACAGGCCCGAATCACCACGTCTGGCTGGCAATGCAAGTGCAGCAAGGCGAAGTTCAGGTAGGCGGCGAGATGGACGAGCGAGAGGGGACCCGGTCAACTATGATCGCAAGGTTAGCCATGGTCAACCAACTCTCCGTGTGCCTGCAAGGGTGAAAAAGAGGGTCAAGACAAGGCGGGAAGAGGGAGTGAATAAAAGAGAGGGTGTATTCCGACGACTTGTCACATGAGCATTGCATGAGGACGCAGTCAGTTGGGAGGGCGCGTTTGGGTCAGTTGTCTCAGTCGCATCAAGCTTCGAGTTGCTCTCAGTGTCGGCGGCACCGAGCAAGCAGGACTGAATGCGCGCCGACTTCATCTTGACGCGTTTGGACTTGGACCATCACAAGAGTGAGATGAGGCGCGCTGCGGGTGTGGACTTCTTTGTAGCCTGGTCCAGAACGACATCATGATGAAGCTGCGCCAACCCGCAGAGAGGGAAGCGGGACTGGGTGTTGAAGGAGATCAGGTGCCATCAGGTGACTTGAAGTTGAACTTACCAGTGCAGTGCAGAAATCACAGTCGCAAGACAGTGAACCAGGTTATTTTTGGACACGAATTTGATTTTCACAAAGAGACGACACGGGCGCTGGGGCGCGATGGGTTGCGAAGAGTTGAAGAGGTGTGGTTGAGGCAGTAGGTCTGGAATCACAGCATTTCAGGTTCAGATACTCGAGTCTCTATGAGGGAAACAACGACAAGCGACGAAGCGGCGGGCGTCACGGGGGGAGAAGATGCAGTTCATGTGACTCGCTTGCTACTAAGTGGCTAGAAATGCGCTTGTCCCAAGGTCGCTTAGCGCAATTAAAAGGTCCACCGGTGGCTTGGCGCTTGGCCCCCGGAAAAACAAATGGCAGGCAAATGGCATGTGACAGATGCCAAACCTGCATAACTTCATCATCACCGAGAACAATCACGACAATGCTTGTTCTTCCTCTTCCCGTCTGACTGTATCTCGTGATCGGCTGTCTGACCCTCCATCATCCGTTTACTTGCAGAAAGTGTGGTGGTCATGGAACATGAGTCGTGCCGGTCCACCCAAATCTCTCAACACCGTGTCTTTCGCCTGCCGCCAGCCGGACAGTCCATCCATGCTGGTCAGAGATCTCGAGCTGAGCCTTTTGGACTTTCGATATCTTTGGCCTTGTACTGTACCTGCACTTATACCTGCACGGCACTGGTAAGGCATCGAATACCTCATCTTCGTGTCTTATTTCGGACCCTTCCGGATGTATCCGCGAGGGAAACCACTGAATACCAGGAACACATCTCCCATACAATCGTCATCATTAGAGGTCGTTATTTGTCCAGTCGTGTCGGGAGTCGGTCTGACTTTCATCCCTTTTGTACTTCGGTATCATCACTAACACCGTCTTCTGGTGGTTCGGTGACTTGTTTGAGAGAGACAGAGAAGGCTGGGGCGCCGTCCGTGTCCACCATAAGTATGCCTTCCTGAGCACGGCCGAGAATGTCCCAGATCCTGACTTGCCCATCCTTGGACATGCCCATCACACAGCTGCTGCCCGCATATCGGACTTCTCCAATGCGCGGACTGGTGCCTTCTTCGCCAGCCCTGTTCGCGCAGACAACAAAGGCTTCGGACTGTGCACCTTGTGGCCCAAATAGGGGAGTGAGCCTGTCGATCCAGTAGTTGATGGTGTCCTGGTCTGGAACCGTCACCTGACTCGACAACTCCTCGTCATTCAGCCTTGTTATCCAAGCCATGCTAATGACAACCACCTTTGCACGAGCCTCGCGCGCGTGATTGCCAAATTCATACGCCGTCCACGGAGCTTCGAATCGATACGGGTTAATGTCCATGCAGATTCCAGCCGCCGCCTTGACCTGCTGACCCTTACCACCGACGGGCAAAACACCCGCCCAGAAGCCCTGGCCCTCTTGAGCCCATGTCTCGTCCGTGTAGTAGAGGAAGGATTTGCGGTAGTGGGCAACAACGTCCCCTGTAGAGCTGACAAAAACTAGCGAGTTGTAGGCGATCTTGCCTGTTTCTTCAGCGGTGATGCGCCGGTCATAGATGGTGTTGTAGTTGCCTTCCTCGGCGGCCTCCGGATATCCCACTGCCACCGTACACTTCAGCCGTTTGGCAGTGCGGGCCGCCCATCGGGTCGAAGGTCCTGCCGCCGTTGGTTCGAGAAACGGTGCTATGGCATCCAAAGATGGGTGATTGTACCCTGCAACCACAAATTAGCCCCCACGGCGCAGGCTGTGCAGAACCACAACGCCGTCCCCTTTCCCCTTCCGCGCAGACTAATGACCCTCTCCTGCCAGCCTCATCCTTTGGAACAGGCGCATTTGCGAGTAGTGCTCGTGGGTGACTCACCGGTGAACGCAAGTTCGGGAAGAACCAGTAAATCAATGCCTTTCAAAAGACCCTCCCTCTCCTCTCTCATCAGGAGGCTCTCCGCACGGCTGAAATTGGCAGCGACTTCCCCAAGCCGGGGAGAGAATTGGAGAGTTGCGATTTTCATGGTAAGAATGGCCACGACGACATCTCGATCAAGGTGTTCGAAGAATGAGGGGCCGCCAGGACGGAGGAGATGTTCTAGCCCCGAGGGTGAACACCTTACAAGGACTCAGAGCAGTTTATTCCAGCCCCTGACAATACTGACGATAGGGGACTTTGATATGAATGAATGTAAGAGGGATTCACGATGCTTTATCAAAAGTAAATTCGGCAATGGTGGTAGATAAATCAGAAGCCGAGCAGAATTGCGGTGCTGGTGGCTACGGTGGAGCAAGAGAAAGACTGGTATATCATTATTTCCGCGTACTAGCAACTAACAACAGATGGTAAAGTGGCAAGTACAGCAAGAGCGAGACTTTACGTGGTCAATGATCATTACTCATTATGCGAAACAAACCACAGAGTAAAATCATGATGATCTGCTACACAGTATGTGCGGTAGACCCGCTGTTATACACAAGTAGGCACCAGCCTCGTGGTGCCATGAGAAACCCTTCAAGCAGCCTTCGAACCCTCCTCTTCTTCAGTGCCATTCTCTTTCTTCTGCCTCTCCCGTTCTCGTTTCCTTTCTAATAACCGGTTCAACTTCTTGGCCACATTGAAGACACCTCCGGTTCCTGAACCACAGGCGGCACACGAAGGGTCTTTTCGGTATCGTTTCAGAGCACATGCCTCACAGAAGTAGTGGCCGCATTTCGTGACAATCGGGGCTGTATATGGTTTTTTGCAGATAATGCAGGCAAATGGGATGCTCTCAAGCAGCTTTTCGTCGTCTTCATCCTCCTTTTGCTGAGCACTCCTGTTTGCAGATGCCACAGTTTTCGCGCCAGGATTCTTTCCTTTAGTACTGATTTCCCAATCCCGATCTAGCTGCCATCCCTGCTTGTAGTCCTCTCGTGCGTGAAGGAATTTACAGTTATCCCCGAAACCACAAAATCCAGTTTGCTTGTAATCCTTACAGACATCAGGAGCAAAGTCTGTAACAGTAATCGTCCTCACATTGCTCGAAGTTTTGACGGGTCCGACCTGTTTCGAAGCACGGTCGGGATTCTTCTGTATGAAAGTTTGATAGTTTGCCACGCCTTTGTATGTTCCGTCCGCAGTTTCTATGTCTGTTTTCTTGGAGGAGGGGTTTCCGGACTTTTTGACGCCATCCTCGTCGTACCAATTCGACGCTTTGGTAGCATCATCCTTGTTTGTTGCAGCGACCACTGGTGCGGCCGAGATTTCTTCGGTTGACTTCTCGCGAGGTTGATCGGCCTTTGATGATGCAGTGACCCCGATATGCTTGCGTCTTCGCTTGACTTGTCTCCCCTCCTCGTCTTCGAAAGAGGAAAATCCCGAATCTGATTCATCGTCCGGGGGAGGAGTGGCGGCCCGCTTTCGAATCGTGGACTTTAGTTTTGGATTTCTTTTTTTGAACGTAACTTGTGGTGCCTCAGCTGCAACCTGCGGGTCCTCCATTTCTGGGGTATGGAGAGTGAGATCGAGGATGAGGGTAAGAAGCGTGACACCCTTTCTCTGAGATATAAGTGCGAGAGAAATCGAGACTTCTCGAACCGGCGCAAGCAAAATCGCAGGCAAGGGTTTCTCAGATGTTGCTTGCATAAGCCAAGCAATTGATCGACTGCGCTAAACCTTAATATTTCTCGCCACAGCTCCCTTGTATGGACGAGCTCAATTTCTCCAAATGCAACTCCAAACTGTTCACAGCTGCGGCGCGTTTTCAACCTGCAACCCAAGACACCAGACTAGTATGCGGTAGATTTAACCCCTGACACTCTTGTTCTCTTCTATCATGTTGTTCAAACCCTTGTTACCTTGAAGATACATGTTCCCTTTTTGGGTGGCCTGTCGTCCCACAATCAGGCCATGGTAAACCATGTATCCCCGGGTCGGCAAGCTGGGACTTCTGGAGATGGCTCTCCGATCCCGAGTCCGACCGCAGAGGAACGTAACCAACGCAAGATTGTCAGCTTCAAGGTCACCCATGTGCTACTTACTCTCTTTATTCTATGGTTGATGTGAGTTGGGTAGAACATGCATCGCGCCAACGTTCAAGCCAGAAACTGACCGAGACAGGATTGTACATATTGTTGGCATTCTGTTCTTTGCTAAAGGCTTTCTTCTCACCAGGCTGGTGTTGGACAACAAATCTGAATGCGGAATACTTCCATCTGACAGACCTTCGCGAATCGCCGACGGATGCTGGCATCCCAAGTCGTTCGATCGAGCTGTCGTCATAATAATTGATGCTTTACGATATGACTTCACCATTCCCTCTCATCGTTTCTATACAGAACCCCAGAAAAAGTTTTACTTAGACAATCTGCGCATTCTTCACCAGACCGCTGCATCGAACCCTTCGAATGCAGTCCTACTGCCATTTATCGCGGATCCTCCTACTAGCACCCTTCAACGTCTGAAGGGTCTGACCACCGGCACACTTCCTACATTTATCGATATTGGTTCAAATTTTGCTGGAACAGCTATCGAGGAGGATAACATCATCTCTCAGCTGAAGGATGCCGGGAAGACGATTGTACAACTGGGAGATGATACGTGGCATTCTCTCTTTCCCGGATATTTCGATCCGAATATGACACGACCATATGATTCTTTCAATGTGTGGGATCTGCATACTGTGGATAATGGGGTCATCGAGCATATCATGCCTTTGCTTGACCAGTCACCGGTACAATGGGATGTCATTTTCGGTCATTTCCTCGGGGTCGATCACGCAGGCCACCGGTACGGTCCTGACCACCCTGCGATGGCCGAAAAGCTCCGCCAAATGGATGATGTTATTCGGCAAATAATGGAGAAGATTGATGATGGAACTTTGCTCGTGGTTATGGGCGACCATGGCATGGACACCAAAGGGGACCATGGCGGAGAGTCTGATGACGAGATTGAAGCAGCACTTTGGATGTATTCGAAGAAGCCTCGCTTCGGACGGATCGATGCAGCTAACATCTTGCCTGCGGCCACGGCGAAGGAGCGTCCAGTCGGTCAAATTGATCTGGTGTCGACTCTGTCAATCCTGCTTGGGCTACCCATCCCCTTCAACAACCTCGGCAGACCAATTGCTGAAGCCTTTGCTGGGCCCGGGAGGACGGACTGGGAAAATCTTGCCAAAGTAGAGCAATTGGTCCAGAGTCAGATCTCAAGATATCAACGATATTACACACGTTCGCGGGACCTCGGTCTGCCCCAAGAAGCATACATGAAGCAAAACCAGTATGTGGTCGATTCAACAGAGGCTAGAGCACTCAGCAAGTGGAAAGATGCACATCACGCCCTCGTCAACTGGCACCAAGAGGTGATATCCATGTACAGGCAACTGTGGGCCAATTTCAACTTGACGGATATGTTAGTCGGGGTGCTTGTATCCGGCCTCGGGTTAGGGTTCTTATTCCTGTTTTCCTGCTTCTTGAAGGGGGACAAAGCTGGACTGGCTGTGCCTCTGATCAGATCAGTCGGCTTCGGGTCGGCAACAGGCGCTGCAGTCGGTGGTCTATCTGGATTTTTCTTGCCTGCACCTTTCACGCTGGTGAGTGGTTTGATATTTGGTGCTACTGTTGGTGGCATCCTTGCTGCTGGCATCTGGTCAAGTCGACACCTTTTCGCTCCAAAGTCGTATCTACCATCCACCTGGGGATGTCTGGCCTTCGTTTTCTGTGTGGCCCAATCCGCTGGATTCGCGTCAAACTCCTACACCATCCATGAAGACACAATCCTTCTCTTTTTCCTGAGTACATTTGGAATTGTGTCTCTGATCTCATCAATGCGACAAGCGTCCAAACCTGATCGAGTCTTGGGCACATACCAGTCGGTGGTTTTCATACTCCTTACTCGAGCCGCATCGTTTTCACGGCTTTGTCGAGAAGAGCAGATGCCCGGCTGTCGCTCGAGCTTTTATGCGTCTACGAACTCATCAACATCAGCCCCTTGGCAGCTTCTGATCCCTTATACCGTGGCTCTGATCATACCGGAAATCATCAAGGCGTTCTACAAAGGCACCGCATCATATGCTGGGTCGGCCGGCTTTTGGATTGGATTCAGTGTCCGTATGGGCTTGTTGTTTGTTGCTGCCTACTGGACGGTAGATGCCGCAGATAACGGAGACTGGTTGCTCGACCGAGTCCCATCAACCACGCTCAAGACGGTCAACATCACTTTGGCCAGGTGTGCCCTTGCAATCGCAATTCCTGTGGGGATAGGGACTTTTATATGGGCGAAACCGTGTATCGACATCTCGATAACCGAACCGACGACTGCCACTGACGAATCTGGCGCCCGCGGCCCGCCCCAGTTAACGGTCTTTGGTTATGCAAACGTCTTCGGTAGCCGTTACTTCATCATGCTTCCCATCCTTGTCCTTGCCGTGTCATTACTTCTACCGCCCATGGGCCAATATTCGATCGCTATCCTCACCTGGCAGATTCTCTGCCTGCTTGAGATACTGGATACCAACGGGCTCACAATCACCTCTGCCTCCCAACCCAGAATTGGACCGATCATGCTCGCCATTCTCGGGTCCTATCATTTCTTCAAGACCGGCCACCAGGCCACCTTGGCTTCTATTCAGTGGAACTCGGCCTTTGTCCCGCTACGCACGATTCAATATCCTTGGTCGCCACTCCTCGTTCTGCTGAACACTTTTGGAGCTCAGATCCTTTGCGCGGCGGCGGTGCCATTGACGGTGCTGTGGAAGAGGCCCATCGACAAAGCGGGCGTACGTGGGCTATGGAACGATGTGCTGGGGGCTTGTCTCACGCATGCTCTGTACTATGCGACGATTCAGCTGGCGACGACAATGTGGGCAGGGCATCTGCGACGGCATTTGATGTTATATCGAGTCTTCATGCCACGATATCTCATGGCCAATGGGGTGTTGCTCATTGTGGATCTGGTGCTGGCCTTGGTTGCCTTGGCCAGCGTGCGGGTTGTCGGGCTCAGTGTGGGTGAGGTATTCGGCCTTTGAGTTCAGTGGATTAATTGGCCTCGCGTAAGATCTACAAGAGCCAAGAGAAAGAGGCACTAGTGGTCGATGAATAGCTTCGTCCATCTAAGGTCCTCGATTAGTCAAAGTGCTCTGTATCTGGCAAGTGTGCAAACCTCTAGACGCAGGGCATAGCTTACGGCAGCATGCTATTGACCTCGACGAAGCCGTGGTTAGTCATGCGATACACGCAAGGAGAAAGGCGAAAGCTGAGTCATGCAAGAGGATGTATCATTGCTCTCGACGCACCTGTTGGCAGTTGGTCCAACACGCTGGATTTCCGAAAGCGAAGAATGGGGCGCAGGTAAAACCGCCGAATCTTTGTGCGAGACGGCGCTGCCGTTACGTCATCCGCCCATCCCGGCACCAGCAAAGTCTCTCCAATTGACCGAGCAGTTCCAGATGCTCCAGAGGCATTCGCCGTATATTAACCAGCTGCAGTTACAGTCACTGCTCGAAATTTTCATTGTTGCATTCCTCTTCCTCCTCTTATTCTTGTGAGAGGCTTCTTCAGATCTTACTCACCACCCGCCCCTACAGTTCTTCTCACAACCATTGTCCGACACAACCTCTGCCATCCTCTTACATACCCCGCATCCATTGAGAGACCACCCCTCCATCCGCCAAAATGCCTATCTCGGTGCCCGCCACTACCTCTCTCCACGACCTCTTCAGCCTCAAGGGCAAGGTCGTCATCGTCACCGGAGCCTCCGGACCCACTGGAATTGGGACTGAGGCTGCCCGGGGATGTGCTGAAATGGGTGCCGACGTGGCCATCACATACTCGTCTCGTCCTCAGGGAGGTGAGAAGAACGCCAAAGAACTCTCGGAGAAATTTGGAGTCAAGTCCAAGGCGTACAAGTGCAATGTCGGCAGCTACGAAGAGGTGGAGAAGCTGGTCCAAGATGTCATCAAAGACTTTGGCAAAGTCGATGTCTTTATTGCCAACGCCGGTCGAACTGCCGACAGCGGTATCCTCGATGCCCCTGTTGAGAAGTGGAACGAGGTCATCCAGACGGACCTGAACGGTGTCTACCACTGTGCACGAGCCGTTGGTCTGCATTTCCGGGAGCGCAAGACCGGCAGCTTCATCATCACGGCATCCATGTCGGGTCACATTGCCAACTTTCCCCAAGAACAGGTCAGTCTTATGAGATATTCTACTGCTTATGAGATGAGAGGGCGTGCTAATCATACGAACAGACCTCTTACAATGTTGCCAAAGCCGGCTGCATCCACATGGCACGATCTCTGGCCAACGAATGGCGAGACTTTGCCCGTGTGAATTCGATTTCGCCCGGTTACATCGACACGGGTCTCTCGGACTTTGTTCCTCAGGATATTCAACAGTTGTGGCACAGCATGATCCCCATGGGCCGTGACGGCAAGGCGACGGAACTCAAGGGTGCTTATGTCTATCTTGCCAGCGATGCGAGCTCCTACACGACCGGCACTGACATCATCATTGACGGTGGCTACTGTGCCCGATAAATGCACGATCGCTGTGAAACAAGTGGAAAGCTTGGCGCGACGAGCATTATTGACGCACTGGAAATATGCAACATGAGATATCAGCTTCGGCCAAGCCGGCTGCGAGCTGAGTCGTGGTTGCAAGTTGCAGGGAGAGAGATATCAACGTATGTCATGCAAGGCTGAGCTGAAACAGTCTTATTCAGGGGGCCGATTCATCTACATACAACGCCATCTGGACTGACTCTCGAGATGGAACTACTAGTTGGTATGAATTGAGCCAAAGAGCCGATTGTGTACCCTGCATCCTGCGTCCTGCATCCTGTAACGCGTGTGCTTTCGTTCTGCCTGTCTTTTCTGTATTTCTTTTTCCTCACCGGTTCCTTCGTTTCAGTCTTGTTTTACAGCTGCAGCAACACCGCCGGATACCGAGAACCATCCACAACTAGAACTCAAGTCGCTTTCTTTGCTTCTTGCTTCTTGCTTCTTGCTTCTTGCTTCTTGCTTCTTGCTTCTTTGCCCTCGGAGTCCAGATACATATTTTCCTCTCTTCGCTCATCTATTCTTCGGTCACCGAACCCCTTTGCAAAGCGTGAACAGAGACAGCACATGACACAAGACACAAGACACTGAGAATCCCTGGCATACCATTCATTATTCAATGTCACTTGCGAGGAGAAGAGTGGGTGGTGTGGTGTGATTCTCATGCCGAACAGGTGGACCGGGAGATCGGCGTGGGTCCAAGACTCCAAATCGAACCTTTGACTTTTCTTTCATTCTTTTCTAATTGATTGATTGATTGATTCATTGGTGCCTCGGGTGCCTCGTTTGCCCATGTACTTAACAAGGTGTCTGTCTGTGTCTGTATGAATTTGTAACCGTAATTCTACCTCGTAGCCCGGTCCGAGATTTTTGTGTTAAGAGAGTCAACATTTGGAATCCTTCCCGGTGACCAGGCAGGCGTTGTAGAGGCGGTGTACATAACAACGACTGTCACGCTCAGATGCCACCCTGAAAACCCCCCTGACAGGACCTTTGTTACACCCTTCTGTGATCGTTCACGTCCTCTTCCGCAAGGACAACCTCCCACTCATGCCGTTACTGGGCCTCGCGGCCCCGAGCAGGACCTGGAACGGCTTGTGGCCCTCGACGCTGAGGCGCTCGTCGCCGCTGACACCGTCTGCGAACTCGTCCTTGGTCTCCACGGGCACCCAGTCGCCCTGCTCGATCTTCCTGCCGCGAAACTCGGCCGTGAAGTCGACCTCGCGGACCACGAGGGCGACGACCACCTTGGCCTCCATCATGGCGAGTTCCTGGCCGATGCAGCTGCGGGGGCCCTTCTCGAAGGGTCGCCACGCGTCCTTGCCCGCCGGCGTGTGCAGTTTACATTCGGGAAACGGCGTCTGCGAGGGGATGAAGCGCTCCGGGATGAATCTCAGGGGGTCCGGAAAGTACGCCTCGTTCCGGTGGATCATGTGCGCCACGGGCCACAGGTCGAATCCGACGAGGGGGCATTCCGTGCCCGTTGACGGGTCGATCAGCACCTTGTCCCGCGCCGCCGACACGTCGCTGGGCCGTTTCAGTTCGCGGATCGTCGACGCCGGCGGGAACAGACGGAGCACCTCCTTCACCACCGCGGCCAGGTACTCCAGCTTGTTGATGCGGTGCGGGTCCGACTTGATGAGCTCGGCCATTTCAGCCGCCGTGACGTCGGGTCCGAAGACCGAATCGAGCTCCGCGACGATTTTGGTGTGGACGTGCTTGTGGAGGTGGAGCAGATACATGGTGTAGGAGATGGTCGAGCTGGTGGTGTCGTGGCCCGCGAAGATGAACGTCTTGATGCTGTCGATGGCCATTGCGCGGAACGAGCGATTCATCCCGCCGCCGCCGCCACCACCACCACCACCTCCTTTCGCACTGGCCGCGACCTCCTTCTCGTAGGCGTCCAGGGCCAGGTCCACGATGGAGCGTTTCCGGTCTTTTCTTGGCTTCTCTGTATCTGAGGAGATATTGGTGCCGGTCTTCCTCGCTTCAATCTTCTTGTCAATCTCGGCCCCGAGCAGCGAGTCGAGTTTCCTGGCGTTCCACCAGAGACGGATCGGACGGACGAGGTTGATGTCGTCCAGCGGGCCAATGCTGGCAGCACTCGGCATCAGCTCCACCTGTTTCCTGAACGTCGTGACGATCGGGTGCGGCCGTTTCTGACTGTCAAAGTCCGAGTCCATGACCACTTTGCCGATGATGTCAATGGCAAATCCTATCGACAAGGGGTCCAGTTGGACGAGCTCGTTCGTTTGCGCCTTTTCCAGGAGCAGATCAAGGAACACGAGGCTGGAGTCGACCACGTACGGAACCAATGTGAACAGGTGACTCGCGGAGAAGCCGGGGTTGAAGATGGATCGTAGCGATTTCCAGGCCTGGCCCTCCAAGCCAACCATGTTGTTTTCTCCCAGGAGGTTGGTCAGAAACTTGGTCGTGAGCTGCGATTTTGGCAGCGATTGACCTGTTGTCAGGAACTTGGAAGCGACTTCAGGGTCGGCAACGAATAACCAGCGGGGACCAAACGGCCACCAATCGAGATAGAAGACGTCTGTGAATTGACCGTAATCAGTATCTGGACAGAGACAATTACAAATCCAACCAACAACACCTGACAGAGAGCCATATCACTAAACGCCGAGGTCTGCTGGCGAGATACTTACCGCCCAGGTCATATTTCTTCCTGATATAGTTGGCCCAGTTCTGGACATGACAGTTGGGTGGGAAGAGTCTCTTGCAGTCGGCCGCAATCTTCAAGTGACCCCAGAATCGGCTTTCCATGGGCGGTTGTGGCTGGACAAGGTGGCGTCAGCATTTGTACGCATCGCCCGTCTCCAAACAGAAATCGTGAATAGCCCAGGCAATGCATCATCAGAGAATACCAGACACTCACCAGTCCCTCAAGTTCTGCTCGCTTCTTGTAGACCAGATTGACAAAGTACCCAACTCCCGCCGTCAGCAGCGCCAGGACTGCTAATATAATCCGCCACATGGTTTTAGCATCTGCTTGGGAGATTGCGCGTAGGGTTTGTGTCGTGAATCTCCCCGATAGAGCAGAAGATTCAGCGTGGACGGTCGCAGATGTGCTGTGTTAAGCGCAGACATCTGCTATGATGATGGCCAGACTTCAAAAAGGCGACCTGCTAGCCAGTCGTAAGCAGCGGATTTAGGAAACGAGTAAGCCCAGGAACAGGCTAGACCAGGGGAAATCCGAGGCTGACGAGGCTGACGAGACTGCTCTCTCGAGTCGTGTTCTCGGTGCTCCGTAGATGATTCGAGTTATTGACACTCGATGTCTCTGTTGAGACTCTTCCTGATCAGACTGTCCAGAGAAAGTAATCCTCTGGTCCTCGCACAAGGTTTATTTACACCGGCCCGAATGTCAGCTCTTGTAGGCACATGGCATATGCAGGGGTCCAGATGTGCTAGCCAACAGCAGGATTCGCTCGTTGGTGTAAAGTCGACCAAGAATAGTGTCAAGCAGAAAGCGTTCAACCAACTTTTTGATGAAAGCCGGATCGTACGATGAGAGACTCGTGTAAGGCGCCCTATGATGGGGCGAAACCTACCCGTTGCTGGGAATGCGCATGTGGTGAGCCTAATGCCGGTGCTCGAGTGTGTGGTGCCGTGGCTTAATGTTGAGACGAAATCCTTTGGGCTATACGATATATGTCCAATATAAAATAGAAGACTTGAAGAGTTCCGCACACCAGGACATGGATGCTTTTTCCGTAGCTTCCACTTATATACCAACTGAACCTCCATAAACATACATGACCATGTATAATGCAAACACGAAAGAACAAAAACGCCGAAACAGTGTCGAGGAAAGGTGAAAGGTTCAAGAGGCAGCAGGTGAATTTCAGCCTTCATATATCACCCACGCGACAAATAATATGCGATACATAGATATATGCAGAGAAGGAATCTCACAGATAGACAGGGGAAACTCAACATGCTGGATCCTCTCCGATGGTATGCCTGACAAAGCTGATATATAGATGTCAGAAACCAGGATGAGTTTCCTAGTCCTGACCTTTTGAGACCCATTCGCCAGCAGAAGGTTTCATGCCTTCAAAGCAACGCAATGTGCTATTCAGAGGTGTGAGGTTAAGTAACACTCGAAAAATGTGGAATTAAGAACAAGCGCCAGTGCTGCGTATCATAAGATCATGAGACGTCGACTTGGATGTGTACCGCAGATCTAGAAAGATCAGATTGGGGTCGAGGTTAATGGAGATTGACACTTGAATACAAGGAGGGCTGCTTTGCCGCCGAATATAGACAAATCTTGGGTCGGAAGTGCCGCACTTCGGATATTCATAACGAGATCCTCTGGCATACGACACGGGGAAAGATGCCCCCATTGACTGAGGGAATGCTGGGCGCAATCAAATGCAAGAAAACAATTTCTCCTCATCGAGTATCCCACGTCTGGGCTGGCATCTCAAAAGGTCGCTCCATCGTCCCCGTCTGTGGTGAGCCCATATTATACCCGAGGGTCGCACCAACATTGGGGTTGGGGGAGGTGGAGCTCACGACAGTTTGAGTCTGGTATTCAACTGTTAGCAAAGAACCAAAAAATCTCGAGACGGTGAAGACGTACGTCGCTGGCCTGGCTCGATAGCCATTGATTCACACTGGCCGTCGTTCCATTCATTTTCTCAGCTCCACCCAGTTCACTGGGTGCTTCTGTCGGGGACATCGCTGTCCAATGGGAGTATCGATCTGCAGTTGATCCTCCATTCGGGCCTGGGCTGGCGTTGCCCATCATTGGCGTAGTCAACGTGGGCTGACCATGTTCAGCTGCAGCTCCTGCGTTATTCTTGCGGCGCCGGCTGCGATAGAAGAGTAATGCGAGCCCGCCAACAATAAGAATCAGACCAAGAACCCCACCGACAACACCGCCGACTATAGGGCCAATGTTCTTGTTGCCGCCGCCGCTATGGGACGCCGATGCCGAGGTGGTCGCCGTGGAAGTGCCTGTACTGACAGAGGTGGTGGATGTCGCCGTAGCCGTCACTGGATCACAGGATGCCTGGAGCACGTAGCCACCACCTTGGCTTTCAAAGTCTGTTCGGATGGCTGGTGCCATTTTGAATTGAGACCGCTTGTAGTCGGCGATTATATAGTTCATGGTCATGTAGGGAATGCCCCAGTCCAGAACGTAACCGTCGTTGGTGTAGTTGAACATGGTGGCTATTTGGTAGGTGTTGTCGATCACGGTGTATTTGCCTTCGTCATCATACCCGCGAGGATAATAGAAGAGCTCTTCTGAAGGGATTGTTGTCTTGTATCCGTTCTGCAGAGTGACTACCAAATTGCCGGTCGGCACAGCAGTGGATGGGTACGTCAAGTACGAGTCGTTGTAGACGGCGTTTGTCGCTTTCATGAAGTTCTCCCAGACGTTCTGCGGCACATTCAGCGCACGTTCCGATGGTTGAAGGTTGACCTGGAGAGACTCAGACGCGTTGGAGAAAAGATTCGTCGACCCCGATTCGTCTTCATACGCAAGGCTCGTGATAACGACACACATTTCGCACTGTTCCAGAGAGTTGAACGTCGTCAGGCTGCCGTTGATCCGGGTGGTATCGTAGCCGCCAACGACCAGAGAACCATCCACAGGGTGGTCGATAGAGCGAGAGCCGGTCCAAAGGCCATAGACGGTCGATGGTACAGCGCCGCTCTCCACAGCAATGCGCAAAAAGTCTGAGCCGGATCCAAGAGGCATGACACCTTGACCGCCATAGCCAGGTTGGTCGTAGCTGGAAGGAAACCCGTAGATGGTAGCATTTCCAAAGGTCAAGACGTCGTTGAAGTAGACAAAGGATAATTGACTGGGGTTTCCTTGATCGGTGCCGTTCCATTGACCTTCCGCGACCTGGAGAAAAGTTTTGGAAGCGCCGTAGTCGAAGACACCACCGAATTGGCCAATACAGGAGTCGTTGTACTGAGGGGCACACTGTGCTTTGTTCACAACGTATAAGTTATCGTCGGCGTTGCTTGGTCTCAGCGAAACTATCTGAGGCGGAGTTCCCATGGAGATCTGGATTCCTCTGGTGATGGCTTTCTGATCGGTGGTGACGGTGACGTTGGACCATGGCAGAAACATCGGAGGGGATCCATTCTGGCAGAGCGACATCGTGCTCAAAGAGTGGGAGAAAATGGCCAAGTCTCTCGCAGGTGCTGTATGTCAGTTGGCCGACGAGGCACTCTGTACCGTGCAGAGGGTCCTCGTTCTTCTCAGGACCGGTTCACAAAATCCGAGAATGAAAAGAATGGTGAAAGAGAAGAAGCGAAAGAGGGTCAAGGTACGGGAATGTCCATGCGTGGACTCCCCTGTACACTATTCGATCGGCGAAGCGGCTCAAGTCAGCCAAACTGCTCGTGAAATTGCGTTCGGCACGCCTGACCTTATGCAAAGCTTGGTACACACAAGACCCTGCCACGTTTTCTTGATAGCAAAGGAATGAGTTTGAAGCATTCGGGCAATCAGAGGCAGATATATCTTCATGGCTGCCACGGCATGAGCGAGATGCTGATTGCACAGCGAACAGTCAAACCTGTCGAAGCGCATATGTTTCCCTTCTTTCCAATGCTCCAGATATTGTTTACTCATAGATCTCTGATGTGGAATCATCTCGAGGCTGGGTAGACTGGCCCATGTCATGGCTGACCGATCGTGGCCGGGTAGTCTGAGCCGGCGCGTTTGAAAGGGTCAACTAGGTGGGTCTTCAGCCTCACAAGCGATCGGCCTGTCAAATGAACTTGTCGCGTAAGATGTGAGGTTGCTGGAAACGGAATGGCATGACAGATTTTTCAGATATAGTGCCATAAGTTGGTACGACCCATTCCCCAGCCAAGTCAAAATCAAAAAAGCGCCTTCGATGAGGGTGACCACCGTCATCTCAAGAGCAGGCCGTTGTAGAGGCCGGTAAAGCAACTTTTGTCGCTTGGTCCGGTTGTGGACATTTGAATTCGAAAGCTATCCAGGGCGCAATAACGGCGTCCATGGTAGATAAGAAAAAAGGGGCAAATTCAGCCACATGGTGGGCATGGTGTCACGCTTCAGACCGACATATTCCCCTGAAGCAAAGCCGCAGACGTTGGCCAAGGCCATAAAGGCGGAGGGGGGGGGAAGCTAATCATTTGATGTGGAAATGCACGCAAAGCGCCAGGGCCCGAGGATTTGTGCGACAGAGAATCGAGTGGCATGAGGTCGCCAGGAAAGTTGTACTTCGTAGAGGGGACGACCCGGACTTCCTTGTACCGAGTACTCGGAATGGTAACAATTGATGAGAGCCCCCCAGAGTTGAAACCCTTTCTCACCTTCTTCCCGTAACTTGGCTTGCCGGAAAGAGATTAGGCAAACGGTTGTGCCTGGGCCATCCTCGCTTGCGATCCCTGATTAAGGTGGAGCTAACGTGCATCGGATATCTTGGTCCCTGGCCTAACGGCATTGGCTTGCAGCGCCTCGAAATTGGATGTGTGACAGTGTGAATGCACGGCGCGACGTTTTTAGCAGTAGAAGAGACAGGTGTCGATTGGGTTGACGAGACTCAGGTATCAGGGTTCCAGTTTCACGACCAGCTATGACCCCTATCGATCTTGTCGTCGCCATCATCAAAGCCGTCTGGGAAATTGTTCGTCAACCTCAGCACATCGGATAGGTAGGTCGAGCGGATGCTGTCGTCTCTCAGACAGTTGGTGTATGAGCTCCCCTGGCTGGACATATCATCAAGGTGAATCCAAAGTGCAAATAGTACGTATACTTGGGGATCAACAAGTTCCCCCTCTTGTTTTGTGGAAATCGATCCGGAGGGTGGTAAAAAGTGAGTCGAGCCGGCATTGCGAGGTCGGTGGTTTGATCTGGCATGCAGCTTTCAGGATCAATGGGTTCACTCTCTCAAATGCTATTACAGTGTGAAAGCTCTTCAGATGGAGGATTGAAGGCAAGTGAAGGTGGAGTGGGTGTGATGCAAATGAGGACGTGAGTGTGTTTGCATCAAGGTTGGAAGAACTGGCACAAAGCGAAGGATGATCAAACTGCGCCGCTCGCAGGAAAATTCCTATACAGAATGACCCAGCGCAGTCATCCTCACCGTCCACAGCAGCAGCGAAATATGGTTCTTTCACTTGAGTCGCACCCCTGACACAGGGACAATCACGCTGCACTACATCTCTTCAACTTTCCATAAGTGACGGGACCCTCCCTGTGATGGTCAAGCCTGGGTCTGGCAGCGAAATATCACTCTATGGTCGTCATCGTGACTACAAACAGTGAATTTCTCTTTTTCTTGCTGTCACCATCAACAGAAGATGCAATCAAAATTGCATGCCTTCGTCCGGCTATAAACCCCTTACCGTCCACATTCTGCCGTGCATTCCTGCATCGTAATTGTTACACTCTTGTTGCACTCTCGTCCAGCTGATCGACCACCTACAGAGATCACATCCTTCGTCCTCACCATTATCAGTCTACGGCTTTATATCATAGACCACCAGAGTCTGCGGCGGCGAGAAAACCCTCTTGGTCTCGTCAGAAACATGGACCGAGCCACACCTCGCTCGAACCCAAACTACGACGTCTACTTCTCCGACGAAAAAATCAAGACTGTGGTGGAAAGATGCCTTCCTGTTGTCAAGCGCGAGCAGATGATCATCGAGCACCTCCCATCAGGAAAGTCGTTCAATAATCGAATCTACTTTGTCAATCTCACTGAGCCAGTTCGCACCTCCCGACCGGAGTGGAAGGGAAATGAAGTTGATGTGACGAAAACAACCACTCAGATTCAGTCCTCGTTTTTGGTGCTCAAGATAGCAGGCCACCCTTTTGGACGAAATAAAGTGCAGAATGAAGTAGCCAGCCTTCTTCTTTTGGAAAAACATTGTTCATCCATGCCAGCTCCGAAGTTGCTTGCTTGGTCGGATGATGGCAAGAAGGTCCGAACACCTCAATACCCCCGTGGCTTCAGAGACACAGAACCCAAAAACATTCCAGTGTTGGCACTCAAAGCTGAGGACGGCACCCCAGTCGAGGATGTTCGTAAGGATACCGAGGGACAAGGCTGGATTCTGATGACACGCGAACCTGGGCGGCCGCTCCATCCAGATGAGTTGTTGGGGGATGCCGGAGATGAGCTGATGCGCCAAATCGCTGCATATGTGGCTACCTGGCGGAATGACATGCCTCCAGCAAAGGCGATAGGCAATCTACGAATTGTTGGGAGCAACTCGACCCCCCAGCCTGCAGCGGTCCTTTACGACAAAGCTATTCTGCCCGGCTACGAAGTTCACATCGACGGGTTGATCACCAACAACTCTCCACCATCTCCCTTGACCACATCGGAGAAGTACCACGCTTTTGTGCTCAAGAATTCTCTGAAGCGGCTCAAGGATGGGAAGCTCTATGATCACACCTCGGACGAAGTCTACGAACTGGTGAAGCGCATGGCTGACCAAACACTCCCTAAGCTCCCATTGTTTCGCTATGGGATTGAACCCATGATTTTCACCCACGATGATCTTTCCACCCGCAATGTCCTTGTCTCGCCCGACGGCTCGGGCGGTGTCAAGGTCTCGGCCATCATCGATTTCGAATTTGCGGGCTTTTTCCCAAAGGAAGAAGAATTTGCCGGAACCCTTCAAAATGACCAGGAGGAGTGGCCGCTCAGAAAGTACGCCGTTTTCTTGTCCGAGTTGAAGCACAGCGACGCCTTGCCGGAGAACTTGGCACTGAATATACCGCCATCCTCATCAATCGGGAACGCCACCGACAAGTGTTTCGAGTTTGGAACCTCCGAGTTTCAACAAGCCGTGCTCCTCTTGCGCACTACAATCAACACTGCGCCATGGTGGATCAAGGAAGAAAAGGGATACAACAAGGAGCAGTTGCAGGAGGAAATGGAGGCTGCCAAAGTCAGAGTTGAGAAAGCCGTGAAGTGGTTGGAAGAGATGGTGCCGGCGGAGGAGCGTGAGAAGCGCAACCGCAGGCGGACCAACAGCACACGAGGCTGACTCTGATCCGCTTGCAGCTGATTCTTATCACGATACCATCGCATTGTTGAATACAACACGCAGACATGTGAAGAGAGACGAGAAAGGAAGAGGTCGAGGCAAAGGAGATCATCTGGTGTGGTCGGAGATTATGTGAAAAAAACCTGCGTGCGCACAACGGGATCTGCGTGACATCAAAGACTCATGTACAAAAAAAAGTCTTGAATCTACCCAAAAACAACCTGTCATAGTCGGCTGGACATCTGCACCCCCCAAAAAACAACAACAACACTGTACAGATCATGGCAATCGGGACTCACTATCAAAAAGGGGATGTGTGTGTGTCGTGGCTTTTTCTTTTTCTTGGAAGAGAGATTCAGACATTCTATTTTCAATCACACAATCACACGGTCCAGTGCCTACAGTACATGCAAGTACATACAAGTACTTAGCTAGATATGTATGTATGTGCACATACACACACACTCACACGGGTTCATAGGTCCATAGGTACATACAGAGCCACAAAACACAGTAACCCAGAACATACGGAGATACCAACAGCAAGCAACAGCCAACAAGGCCAGCCAGACCAGACAGGTCAGTCAGGGCTTACCACTCGTTACATAGTTAAGATTCAATCCATCATACCTATCATATCAACTCAAATCATATCGAACGATTCCAGTCAGAAGCGGGCGGGCATGCAAGCGGGCGAGAACGAGCCCAGATGACAGGCTATCATTTGCTTCTCACTCTATGTTGTATCGTATCATTATATCAGTGATGACGCGTGAAGACGCCGAAATCTCTACACCCTCTATAGGTGTATAGGTACAGGCTGCCAGGTAAGAAAAGAGGACAGACAGGTGACAGAGTGGTTACCAGGTGGAGTTGAGCGTGTGTACATGTACATGTACATATGTAATATGTAGATAGGTAGGTACGTAGGTACCTGTACTTATGTACAGTACATGCTCGATATATCGCCCAAACCCTTGTGCACCTACAACACCTGCTCGACCCTCCAGCCCGTCTTGCTCTTCACGTCCATGACCTGCCTCACCTTGACCGGCGGGAGAGGCCAGGCCAGAACACCCCCGGCACCCGACGTGACGGCACTGGCGCGCACGTCCACCGTGACCCAGCACTCCCTCCTACGCGGCGAACCTGGCAACTCATCGATCTTGGTCCGGGGCACAGGTTTGCCGTAGTTGATGAGAGCCGTGTCCCTGGCAATAAACGCCAGCTGCGCCGACGTGAGGGGCGCGAGCGGGAACATTCGCGTCTTGGGGATTTTCTTGTCAGCGTCGCGGTGCTGCGAGGGCGACGGTGTGATTGTGTGGGCCTGCGCACGTTGCAGGTGGCTGTAGCAGATGTACTCGGGCAGGTCTTTGACGTTGGCCCGCGCGAGGACCGACGATGGGTGGATAAACACGGCTTTCTCGTGCAGCGGAGCGGACGGGTGGTCGTGCAGGGGGACCAGGGGAAGATAGGGCACGTCGATCGTCCGGCGCGGGGTTTTCGCTGGACAGTCAGATGGTGGTTGCGGCGCCTTGTCGTAGCGGATGGCGATCTGGTCAATATACCCAGACGCCACGATCGTGTTGATACGCGTCGCCACTTTGCTCGAGGAGATCTTGGTCTTTCGGGACTGCGAGATGGTGGCTCTGGTGATAGAGCTGCGGTGGTTCATGAGTACCAGATGTTCCAGCTGATCACGCAGTTGAGCGACCTCGGCCATGGCTTTGGAACGGAGGAAGAGTGACTTGCACAGGGTCTCCCGACCAGATGGAGAGCTGTCGAGATAGACCGAGGCTGCAGTAAGGAGTTTCATCGCGTCCGAGGCTTTGTCGTTCTTGCTCAGCGTCGCGCGGGCACGACCATACTCTTGTCGGAGCTTCTCACGACGGTCGTCTTCCTGCTGTTTCTCGAATGTGTACACTTCCTGCTCGTCGTCATCATCACCATTGTTCTGACCGTGCGCTGACGAGGCTGTTGCTGCGTTCTTGTCATCGGTAAGGTTGAGTTGACCTTCTGTGATAAAGATTTCCGGCACCGCTATAGCAGAAACGAGTGCAAGGATGTGCCAAACCAAGTCTGTCTCACGGACGCACGCTGCCAGAATCTTACCGAGGCGAGGAGAGAGTGGATACATCGACAATCGTTTGCCCAGGCCTGTGATCGACCCGCTCACGGTCAATGCACCAAGGTTCTTCAACAGCTGCTCTGCCTTGTCCAGTGTCTGCGCGGCTGGTGGTGTCGGGAACGGAAATTCAGCGATCGGCCGTGGATAGGCGAACCCCTTCAACTGCAGTGCCACGCTCTCCGCGGGGGCCCTCAAGATCTCGGGCTCTGTATGATCGGGAAAGAATTGCTCATACACTGCTGATGAGTACAGCCGCCAACAGTGACCGGGCCCTGTGCGGCCTGCACGACCCGCACGCTGCTGAGCGCTGGCTTTGCTGATATAGTCGATCTCGAAGCTCTGGACTCCCGTGTCGAGATTGTATTTACGTTCCTTGCTGCGACCAGTATCGAAGACATAGCGTATACCAGGAATGGTCAAACTTGTTTCTGCGACGTTGGTTGCAAGAACGATCAGCCGCGCCCCAGGAGGAGGTGGCTCAAACACCTTTAGCTGTTCGGCGGTGGGTAGTTGGGAGTAGAGAGGGAGAATGTGAACAGAGGTGTATGGATCCTTTGAACTCGAATGCCCACGAGCTTGTGGAAGGGTTGTCTCGTCTCCAGCATCGTCCTCATCATCTGAAATCTCGAATTCCTTCTCTTCCGCTTCATCTTCTGAGTGCGTCAAAATTTCCATCTCGAAATCGTCCTCCGCGTCTTGCACTTTCACAGGGCCGAACTCGAAATCCTCAACCTCGAGGGGCGCTTCAGTCGCAGCAATTTCCACCCGAGGTGTGTTTGTCGTGGTCCTGCTGTCATTTCTTTGAGCCAGGAGTGCATTCAGTCGGTTGCCGACTTGCTTGATTTCGTTCTGGCCAGTCAAGAAAACAAGAATGCCGCCTCTGGGAAGTTTCCGGTGAGCTCGTCTGACCTTTTCGATCACCTCTTCCACGTAATCTGCTCGTGATCTCAAGGCAAAGTGTGTTGTTACACGGTGTTGGCGTCCTTCGGCTTCAACTATGGGAGGCCGTAGCGCGGCTGAGAAGAGCTTCTCGTGAAGAAAATCGCCGATGTTGAGCGTAGCAGACATGATGATCAATTTGAGTGGCGTTGGATTCGGATTGAATTGACTCTTCTGCATCCGCGCCGGGACGATTTTGCTCAGCATTCCAATCAGGATGTCCGTGTTGACGCTCCTCTCATGAGCCTCGTCGACAACTATCACGGAATATTTTCTTAACAGCAGATCCTCGGAGAGTTCACGCAGTAAGATCCCGTCTGTCATAAATTTTACAGCCGTGTTTGTCGACACCGTACTGTCAAACCTGATCTGATATGCCACCTTGTGGCCATGTTCCCCTAGCTCAGTACTGACCCGCTTTGCCATACTGACAGCAGCAACACGACGGGGTTGGGTGATTCCAATCATGCCCGGTGTTGGTCCTTCGGGCGCCCCGTAGCCGGCCTCGAAAAGAAATTGCGGAGTCTGTGTAGTTTTCCCGCTCCCGGTATCGCCCTTGATGATCACAACTGGGTTATTGTGGATGGCTTCCATAATTTCCTGTTCTCGTTGGAGAATGGGCAGTTGAGACCGGGATTCTTGTATATCCTGAGGTCGACTGACATGCACAGCGTGAGCTTTTCGATTAGGTACAGGATTCCGCTCCGGAGCTGCTGTGGGTGGTTTTGGAGGCTGGGTATCTGATTTTGTGGCGGGTTTGGGCACGGGTAATAGTTGTCCTTCGCCCGTCGTATAGGATGGCGTGTATCCGATGGATTGGTTTAATTGCTGGGTCGCCCATGCTTTGAAGGCCGAATTCCTTGGTTTTATTTCGTTACCATCTTCCTCTTCTTCGGCATCGGACATGTCTGTATCTTCTTCTTCTAAAGTATCCTCTGGGTTGCTCGATGAATCCGAAATTTCAGAACTTCTGCCTTCTCCCTCCTCTGAATCCTCTTCGTCCGAATCTTGCTCCTTTATACTCGGCTCAGAGTCGAAGCCTTCCCAGGGTAACTCCACGGGAACCTCGTCATCGCGGGGTCTGGCCCGTTTCTTGCTTTTGCGAGACTGTATGATAGGCAATCCATTCTCATCCAGCGCCAACGGCTGCGCAAGGCCACTTCCCTGTAGATGAGGTCTTCCAAGTGGCACCACCGGCTTCTCTGCGTTCTTCGTCTCAACAAAGGCTTCCCTGTGCTCGGCCTCGAAGGAGTCCTCGCTGTCGACGTCAGACTCCTCCGGCACCTCAAAGATCTTCTGCTTTTGACGCTTTGGACCTGGCCCTGAATCACTCCGAAACTCGCCAAACGTACGCTTGCCCAGATTCCCAGAGCTCTTTGCAACCACAGCCTCGTACTTTTCCTTCTCTTGCTCCAACTTCTGCAACAGGTCTAGAGTCTCATCCTTCCTCAGCTTGTTGTCGATGTACTTGTCCAATCTCTTCTGTTTCTTGCTCGAGATACGTGTCTGCTGGGATCTCAGTTCTTCTCTCAATTTTTGCCTTTTCGCCTCCCTCTCTGCCTTGCTCTGCGGGACGATAATTTCTTGGTTGGATTGTGGTGCAGCGGGGTCGGTCGCAGACGGTCCAGCTTGCGCCTTTTCGCGGGCGAGCACTTTGTGCTTCCGCTGGCGAGGAACGAAGCGAGGCATGTCAATCACGAGTCTCCAATCCTGGTAGTCATGAGGCTTCTCCCTGTCAGACTGGTCGTACAATTTCTTCGCATCGTTGTTGGTGCATGGAAATTGTTATGAAATCCCGGCAGAAAATCGTGGGCGGTAAAGCACTAATGGAAGGCGGTGAAGATGTCGACGTCACGTGAGGTCTTTCGAACTTCAGGCTCAACAGACTCTACATGGTTGATACCCTCCTTCATTTCAGGGGACCTGGGTCCTTCTAGCAGAGCACAGACTCACCGTAAGATTACAGTATGGCAGACATGGACGACGACACAAAGGTCACAATCCCTTTCCCCGCGTCTACAAAGCAGGCGGCAAAAGAGGTAAACGGTGTAAAAACCGATGTCATGTACATCTCGTTCGCCGACAAAATCATGATCACAATAACTCAGAACGGAAAACTCGGTCAATGGGTACATCTCCCCCAAGGGGGTGCTAGCTGATATTCTGGGTAAACGTGCTAATTGGCCCACCAGATCACTGTGCCACTTTTGAGCGACAACCCTACACACTCGGACCCTTACTTCCAGACGGGGCGCTCTGGAGAGGATGCCTTGCTACCGTCAACTCGCTTTTCGCCGCGAACACTGCTGGGTGCTGGTGGTACTGAGCGTGAAGCCATGGGCCACCTGTACGCTTCACAAATTGCTGATGCAATCATCACCAAGACGCCTGACGAACGCCGTAGCCTCATGCTTGGACTAGGGCTCGCCAAAGTCGAGCTCGAGCGAGATGTCTTTTCTCAGATTATTGACCTTGTTCTATCAGTTCTCTGAGGTTTGGAGGTTGGGGGTTTCGACCCGGATAGCATCGATCAGACAAGGCGATCTGGCATGCCAAATCCGTCTTTCGATTTTGGCGCCCGGCACCTCCGACACCTTGGTGGTATCTTGCGGACGGTTACGGCAGATCTCTTCCACAGAGGCGTTGATCTCATACTCCCCGTCAGCAAGTGTGACGATACCGAGGTTAGCTACACAAGTACCTCCGGGCTCAATGGCGGGATGCAGGGCACGTTGGAGTACTCCCGTCCAGAGGAACCGCTTCGTTAGATCCAGGGCGATGTTATGAGGTTGATACCGAAGAGCAGGCTGGAGGCGAAGGAGTAGACGCAGCGGCTCTTGCGTGTGATTCCGGATTGTGGCCGAAAGGGTTGCGAATACCTCGGTCTGGACGACGAAATGTGATCTTCCGATCTGTGTCACGGCTGTGCCTCCAGTGCCGTCTATATCTTGAGAATGTTCGTGCGGTTTGAGGGCGAAATCGATTTCGACGTGCTCGACTTTAAGGGCGTCCACCATCCGTGGACTCAATCTGACACCTTTTCTCAGGTCAATCTCTCCATGTCTACCTGAGCCTTCTTCCCGCCACGTGCCTCGTAGGCATTTTAGTAGCTCTTCGCGGTACCAGAACGACTCTCGGCTGGCCGCTTCTGCCTCTGCGCTCAGGTTGGATGTCGTTACCACAAATTGCTTCTGGACATCTAGGTTCGGAATTGGTGCATGAGGGTCCTGAATGAAAAGGCGAGGAACCAGCAAAATCACCCGGCTGACGTGGCCTGGTTGCAGTGTCTCGGTCACTGAATACGCATCCTCCCAGAGCTGATCGTCGGCAGAGTATTCGAAGTTCTGCTTCCGAGCTTGCAGTTCAATGTGAAGGGGCTGTGGCCAGACGTTCCGGAGATCCAGCGACAACATGCAGTATTGGCTGGCATCACGTCGAGACTTGAGCCAATTGGATAGCATAGATACGCTCGGCCCCCTGCCTCGATCATTTCCGGCTATCTTCCTTGATTCATCTGCACTTGGACCAGGACTCCAGCTGAAGTCACTGTGGATCGGATAGATATTGCATCGTGGTATTTCCACACAGCCATTGACTGTGACAGAGATGGGAAACCGGATTTGTCTGGTATAGAATGTTCCTTTTACTTCGGACGAGGGTGATCCAAGGTACGCATAGTTGGCTTGTACAGCGGCACTCACGAGGCCTGCTCGCCCAAAAATCGTCACACTGTATGCAATGCTCTGGCCAGCCTCTAAGATCTTGGAGGATATCTCATCGCGCTGATCCGTGATATACACAGCCGGGTGTACAGTGAGCTGGTTCTGGATCTCGTACATTTCCGCAGGGCTGAGGTCTTTGTTCGTGAGGGCCTCTTGCAACCTGGAGGTGACAGAGTCTTCTGTAGTGACAAGGACGAAATCTGCTGCCACGGTCTGGCTTTCATTGATGAGCGTGAGATCAAATACACGTCGCTCCCCCTCCAGCAGCATAATGGCAGGATCACCCAGGCTGTCGGATCTTGCGACAAGCTGAGGCTGAGAGCCGATGACCCGAAGCTTCAAGGGTGATGCTTCGGGTAGATCCAACGGGAAACCGGCACTCAGCAAGGACCCATCATTGTCAGCAGCCTGCGCTTTTCTAGACTTGACTCTTCCAAGCGCATTCTGCTTCGGGATCACAGCGAGTTTCCAATCATCACGGAAAATGAGGAAGTCCTGCTCATAGCAATTGCGCACGGTTGCTCTGCACCCGATGATTTGTAAATCGCCGCTTCCTGTCGGGGTGCCGCTGAGGGTGAAGATCTGGGTCGAGAAGGGACCCATCACGATACTGTGGCGTGAGGGAGTGAAATCACATCCTTCGCTCAGCAGGCTGATCTCCTCGATTTCGATGCCCACTTCAAGCGGATTCTGCAGGAGGACTGTAAATGTAGCTAGCTCCCCAGCTACCAGTACGGGAGCAGCTGCAACGGATTTGTCTTTCGCGAAAGGATTGTATATGAATGGATCTCGCACCGTTTCGACAAGGCCACTCCCACGGATGCTGAGGTCGCTAGGCTTGTGTGCAATAAGCTTCGCAAAAGAGCCTTGTTCCAAAACTTGAACATCTCGGACGAGGAAATCATCCCAGTATTCAGCACGGCACCCTTCGGCACCCAACCGCGAGGCTGCTGAAACGGCGCGTTTGAGACTGTCGAGAAGGCGTACTTGCTCTTCTGCAGAGACCAAGGGAACCGCATCCGTTGAATACTTGGGCATGGTGATGATTTGTTTTGCATCACGCAATATGGTCGACGTGAAATGGAGCCCGGCGGGGACATCGGGCAACGCTTCGCAAACAGTCACGCACGTTCGCAGCATTTCTAGTTTCAGCATGACGTCCCCAGAGCTGTGCTCGATTGCCCACAGTCTCGTTCTATTGTGGATGCTATCGATATCAGCAGGAATCCTCTGTGCTGGTGGGGGAACTGGTGGCAGAGGTACGCCGTATGCTCCAGCCGCCAGGTTCAGCATAGCTCTGGTGCCAATCATCATCTCCGGGAGGATACCCAGGAGGGCAGTGTTAAGAGGTGGCAGCCCAGCTGCTGGATGAATCCCGGCCTCGGAGGCACCGATTTTCCTCGCCTCGATCAGCCTTGGGGCGAATTGTTGCATGAGCTGCTTGAGATAGAAGGCATGTTTGCGATCCAACCCCAATATGGATAGACTCGCGGCGACTGCAACCAGGATACTCGTATGGTGTGATAAATTCCTGCTCGATTGAGCTTCTTGAAGCGTCTCAATCAGGATATTGGCAAGCCCAGCTTTGGAGATGGCAACAGTCTCTCCATTGGCGTGTTCTGAGTTCTCAGGCATCAAACTGCCGCCCGCCACAATCTGATTTAAGCCCTGTTTGTTCAATACACCCCCAGCGCGCTTCACATAAACAAGCATGTTCACAAGCCTGACACGACACTCTCTCAAAACGTCTTGCAAAGACCCACCCAGGTCCAGATTTGCAACTTTGGCATAGAGTTCAAGCACTGTCTCAACCATTGGCGGTAGCAACAGGGCCAATGTCTTTAGAGGGCCGCCTGACTTTGGCGCAACCTCAGCTTGAAATGCTCCGCTCCTATTAGGTAGAGAGCGACAGATTTGCGGCACAGTAAAACTCATTTCGGACCATGACAGAAGGAGCATGCAGATGAGGAGGTGTTCCAAGGCCTTTGCATGCCACAGATGGTCTTGACCATTTTGAGCTATAGCGGCCCCTTCGGCGAGGTAGTTCATTGCCTCCGTCCACGAGCCACATTGGAGCCGGAACATGCCTCGAATAATATTGAACCGCCCCCTTGATGTGTCGCTCTAAACACCGTTTAGCAGACGCTTATATCAGGCGGCAGAAGGAAGATTACCTGCTGGTCCGAGCCAATCGAAGTCGGCAACGGGCTTGGAGACTTTGTGGATACGGGCGTAGAGTTTCTGTCCCCTGGGGTGGGAGATGTGCCAGCGCGTCGAGGAGTTTGTGAGGTAGCACCTGGCACCATACTGATTGGCTGACCTTTGAAGTCATTAAGTATCAATTCGACGCCGTGAAGGAATTGCCGTGAAATAGTGCCCATTACCGCGTGGGAGGCACTCTCAACATCAGAGTCTGACATGCTGAGAATGTCACTGGGGAGAGAGGCTGGAGGTTCTGGACCACAGAAAACAAGACGGCGAACGACCAAGCCTGGGCTTGAGGGCAGCTGCTCCTCGAACCCGGCTCTGATAGAGTCAAGCGTGGCAGAGACGCCCGCCAAACTCGCGCCATCTGCTTCTGAGGAACGGGCTGGTTCATTTATAACTCTTTCGCCATCAATCAGTCCCAGGAGCACCTGGCAACGCGAGTTCGTCTCGAAAGGAAAAAGGTGCGGCCGTCCTATTTGTTGATTTGCTGAGATGTCGTAAAAGATACACCCATTTCCTGCAGCGGACGCGTTTGCAGCTAACAGCCAATATGAGTTTTATACCCGTGAGAGCAGCTGTTTGTGCGTACCTTCAGGAGAGGCAGAGGAGTCCACGACTCGACGCTCCACAGTCGCAGCATTCTGTAAAGATTTGATAAATTCCTGGAAACGATCTGGCGTTATCGGCCCAGCAGGAATACATAGCACGTTGACCTGTGCAGCAGCTGTAGGTAGGAAAGGGTGGTAGCCCATGATGACATGGTGGCAATGGATGGACGTGGAATCGCCTCAGTGACACAGGAGACCGTATGAAGAGGTTCGAGTCCGGTCCTTCTGTACTCAACAACACCAATGGCGGTAAGACAAGGTATATCCAACGCTTTCAAGAGGCACAGGAGGCGTTGTATGGAGGATGAGGTTGATGATACCAGACGATGGCGATGAGGTTTCCAGGCTTAGGTAAGCGACTACCTGCCCAATCGCAAGGCATGCCTAATGGTCCCTCCTCCTGAACGGGACCCCCTATATTGGCCGTCATAATAGCCCCGGTTGTTCTTCGGGGCCTCGTCGCGGTGGCGAACAACGCTGCCTGCGGCTCCTTACGCGGGAACTCGTAACCCCATCGACGTCAGCCTTGTTGCAGCCTCGCGTAGACATTCTGTTGCCCTCCTGCATGAGTCGTTCAAAACACCAACCACTGTTTCTCTATCCTTCTCCGCCTTTCCTACGTATCTTCCGTCGGTATCACCTAGTCGCACTAATTCCTCCCTTATAGGCTTTGTCCTAAGAAATGTCCTCCATGCGGGTCATCCATTCACATCGATGACATTCATCACCACCAAGCCTTCTCAGCACGGACCCCGAAACCTACATCGCTGCTCCAACCCCGCCGCTTGTCTCTCTGGTCTTCCTACACCCAGAACTGTTCGCTTGAGCTGACAGTCGAAATACCTGGTGGCACAATGGACTTCGATGCACTGCGTGCGCGCACGCTGCGGTCAGGCGCCGATGAGGAGGCTGTAACAGTCAACACAAGGGCTTTGATTGACAAAGTGTTGGCTAGGTATTCTGGAGAATGGACTGTGTTGCGAGAGTTGTTGCAGAACGCGGCAGATGCATCAGCAACAAAGATCACTATCAAGTTCGAGACGCTGCCCTCAGCCACGGTTCCTGTCCCCACTGATTCCTCAACATCAAGTCTTTTGAGGCATACGGTGCTACATCATACTTTAAAGAGACTGGTCGTGACAAACAATGGACAGCCATTCAACGAGAATGACTGGAACAGGTTGAAGCGAATTGCAGAGGGAAACCCAGATGAGACCAAAATTGGTGCATTTGGGGTTGGGTTTTATTCCACGTTCGCAGACTGCGAGAACCCTTTCGTCTCCTCCGGAAAGGAGGCAATGGCATTCTTTTGGAAGAACAACTCGTTGTTCACGCGGCGGTTACAACTACCAGACACCGAGTCCTCCACAGACACAAACTTCGTCCTAGACTACCGGGACACCACATCTCCGGTCCCTCCTTTGCTACCTCTGGCACAGTTTCTAGCGAACAGTCTGACCTTCGTTGGACTAGAAAATATAGAGCTTTGGCTCGACGAGTGGAAGTTGGTGTCCCTGCAGAAGAAGACATCCCCGAGTTACGACGTACCAGTCCCTCGGGACATTGAGCCCAAAACGAGTGAGGGCTTCATGAAAATTACAAAGGTTTCCAAAGAAATTGCACAGATTGATGGCCAGTGGATGAGCGTCATTGGCTGGAAAGCCACAAGGGACACGGTTCGGTCAACCGAGAAAGACTCGGCTCCCTCCCTCCGCAAATTCTTCTCCCGGCTGGCGGGAACAGTCCAGGACGAGAGCCAGACAGAAGTAAGACCTGATCGCTCGGTCGAGGCTGATCAGTTGGCGACGAAAGTGTCTGCCACGGTCTTTCTGAATGTGAACACGGCCACCATCAAGACATTTACAGGCCAGAAATTCAATGAAGAGCTGGAACGGGCAACCAAGAAACCACCTCCAAAGTTCACCAAACTCGCCATCCTGACTGCTCCCTATATAGAGGATGCCAGCCTTGCGAAGGCGTCCGCTGCCGGTGATGTCTTTGGCACGGTCCTGCCAAGCAGGGGTGGTAAGATATTCATTGGCTTTCCCACGCATCAGACGACTGGGTTGAGCGCACACATTTCCGCGCCCTCTGTCATTCCAACCGTTGAACGCGAGTCTATCGATTTGAACGCCAGATATGTGAGGACGTGGAACATGGAGATGCTTCGTGCTGCCGGTATTGTCTGCCGCGTTGCATGGTCCTGTGAGATGCAAGAGCTCAAGGAAAAGACCCTTCGAGAAGCCAATGGCAGATCCAAGATCCGTATGGAAGAAGTGAATCCTTTCTTGGACGAGGCAATCACTACATTCAAGAATTTTACCTTTAAAGAGTCAACACCTTCAGCTTCGATCGGCCAGCTCCTTGAAGATGCTTTCTGGACATGCAGTAAGAAAGCATCCATTGAGGTGGTTTCCACATGCGGAGTCCTTCCCACTCACGACGTCCGTATCGCTCCCAAGGATCTGAGTTTCATGGAAGGTATTCCCATTCTTCCCGAAAAATTGGCTTCTGAAGCCAATGTGTTGGTGTCCAAGCTGGTCGACTTCGGTCTCCTAACTGAAGTCACCGTGACCGACATCAAATCTGCACTCGAGTCGAGTCCTCTAACCACTGCGCAAGTGGCCGAGTTTTTGAGCTGGCTCACAAAACAAGCAACCCGGGGAAAACTCGATAAGCCTACCATATCAAATCTACTGGCGGTCGCTGTAGCAAACGACGACAGCCCGGAGGGAAACAGAAGGCCACTTCTTCAACTCGGAGAAATCCGTCATTTCTTGAACCCCAGCCGAACACCCGTCGACTTCCCAGTCCCTCCGTCAGTAATGCCTTTCAAGTTCACAAAGGGCATGGGCAAGCACGAGCTAGAAAGCCTCGGATGGGAGGAGCTGCAATTGGTGACATGGGTACGCTGGCTTATCGCTCAATCTGGAAATCGTCAAGTCCTTGCCGAAAACCAGGACATGACAAAATCTGCAGAATTCAGCTCGCAGGTTTTGCCTCTCCTTTCGAAACAATGGGATTCGCTCAGCCAACCCTCGAAGTCCTCGTTGGTAGAATTACTCGTCAAGCACACAGTTATCCCAACGAAATTTGGGATGAGAAAGCCGGGTGACGCCTATTTTCCGAGTGTCAAGCTATTCGATGATTTGGCGATAATCGAAGGTCTTGGGAGTGTCAAGGACAAGTTCTTGCTGGCCCTGGGAGTGCGCAAGACCGTGGAGTTGGGAGTGGTCTTCGAGCGACTGTTGGCACTGGAACCCAAATCCGCCAAAACCGTTGGCAGCGCGAAGCCACAGTGGAGTCACGTCGATCTGATCAAATATCTGGCTTCTGTACGTGACGACATCCCCTCGGCCGATATACAAAAGCTCAAAAACACCCCTATCTGTCCCAGCCAGCTCAAGGGCAAGGACGGAGGCGAGTCTACAGAACGCTACAGAGTAAGCGAGCTGTTCGAGCCACGGCACGATCTGCGCGAACTCGGGCTCCCTGTCCTGGCTTGGCCCGGCCCCTACCGAAGTAACACGCCCGAAGGAAAGTTCTTGAACGCGCTCGGTCTACGCACCACGCCTCTGGTCCCGGAACTGATCCAGATCATGGCGGAGGCGGGCAAGAAAGGACCCAAATATGATCTTGACCGCCGAGATAGAGCGCTGGCGTATTTCTTGTCGCACCACCACGCTCATGGCTATGGTTTGTTTGATTATCAGAGCATCATGCTTCCGTTCTTGCCGCTTGAGAACAAGCCCGACCAACTTGCAACTCCAACGCAGTGCTTTGCGAATGAAGGCGCTGCTTTACTCGGGTTTGATATCCTAAAACGAGATTGGATTCCACATGCCACGAAATTCGGCGTTAGGGAGCATCCACCCATGGATCTCTGCATCAACATCCTTTCTAAAAGACCACCAGTCACATTCCACGATGCTCGGGCTATCTTTACATATTTCGCGGGCCGGCTAGCAGAGATCAACACTCACACCGTGTCGAGACTGAATGTCATGGATTTTATTCCCATCTTTCCCAAGAACAAGGAGAAGTCGGCACCCAAGCTTCACACATCACCTCGAACCTGTTTTCTAGGCGAAAGTGAGGCGTTCGGGGAGATCTTCCATTATGTCGATTTCGGCGCTGAAGCGAACTCGTTTCTCATCAGATGCGGTTCCAAGCAAGAGCCTTCTAAACTAGAAATTGCACAGATCCTTGTGAGGGAGCCTGCGCGGATTTCTGCAACTTTCCGCAATGCCGAAAAATACATGGCACTGCTCCGGAGCATGGCTGAAGCTGCTAAAACCCTGAAGAGGAACAAAGACCTCTGGGCAGAGATGAAGAAGGCACCATTCCTTCTTGCAAGCAGGGAACTTCCCCCAGCGGCGTCGTCGGCAGAGAAGCGGACGGGCTCAGCCGACGATTCCGATAATCTCGACGAGGAAGAGGCCCTGGGAATCCGCGAATTTCAACTATGCAGTGCCGAAGATGCTATCATCATTGACGATTACATCAACTACAACCTGTTCAAGGCAAGCATCCTAGCAGCACCCCAGGAAGAAAGTCTCGAGGACTTTTACTTTGCACTAGGATCCCCATTGCTCAGCTCTCTAGTGGAAGAGGCCGCTCGACACGGCCCTAGAGCGCACGACCAGAAGCCCGCAGAGAAATTGCAGAAACAGATATTGGAAAGATCGACGCTATTCCTACATGAGCAGCCACCAGACACCATCAAGCACGACGCAAAGTGGTTGGAGAAGAATCTCCAAGTCCAGCTCGTGTCATCCATCTCTTTGAGAAGATCATTGCGTGGAAGAAACGTCAGTCACACGGAAAAGCGGACGGCTGTAATCACAGCGGTCAACAGAGAGTACACCTTGTGGATTACAGGTGCAAAGCCAGACCTCTATCAAGTCAGCCAGGCTTTGGTCCACATCTTGCTTACGAGACCCAAATTACATTCTGCGATCACTCTAGAAATGTTGTTGAAGACAGACTTGCTTGACCTCCGCGCACGAGGTTTCAATGTTTCTCGCATTCTGCGACAGAAGGCGGCAGAGGCTCGGCTTGCTGAGAGTAAGAGACAACAAGAACTTGAGGAGCAACAAAAGAGGATTGAAGAGGACGAAAGGGCGTGGCGAGCGTCTCAAGAG